CCCATGGAAATACACTTAGATTAAATCATACCTAACAGATATTATCATGTGTCAGAAAAACAGTAGGAACACACAGGTATCAAAAAAGATGAATTTTCCAAAGACTTGGCTTGTGAACCCTTCAGCAGTATACAGCAAACTAAACACTTGAGTGCCACTGCAACAGCAACCGAAAGAAATTAAAAGCTGATGCTCCATCCTTATTGCCCGTCTCCAGACCTAGCATAAGACTCCCACAACCAGTTTTCTCATGGCAGCACCAAACCAGACTACCCTTCTAACCTCTAGGCCCAACACGTTCCCACTTACAAAACAAAGCCATCTCCCTGCTATCTGATAAAATCCTTTAATGCACATGCTGAAGATAAAAAGTCCACTGCATTACATAAGTTATTGTTTTACTGTCACCTGCTTTCACTTGTAGGACTAGAATTGTTCACTAAAAAATACCCTGAAAATTTTTAGTAAGGTATTATTTTGGAAACCCTAGGTTTATCACATCTGAACTTCTTACTATGACAGCTAAGTGATCATGTTCTTTTTGTATGTGCAAGTTTCACCTCATGACTCCTACGCAACAGCTTTTTTTTTGGCACCCACAGTAACTTACAAACAGCTTAAGAGTTCATTATTGCTATAGGTTGTATTTCTATCACTGTGCTCAGTGTTTTTGGAAGCATCAGAACATCAGGCTTACTGTATCACTTAGCTGTCACAGTGATTTGCTTCAGTTCTTTCTGTGCTTACCAGATAAGTTATGCAACAGACATTAACAATATTATTACAACTCAAACATTCATTCATTGAGTCTAATAGAGTAATGTGGAGTGCTGTGCAGCAAGAGATGCATCTCACCACGTGCCTACTCTGAAAGACAGATGACCCTTGTGCTAAGCAGTTCAGTAATATTTTGCAAGAATAGGATGAACTGCCATTTTCTGACTGGAATTATCATGATTACACTTCTCAATTAATACAATGAATAATTTAGCCTGTGCTATCCTCAGTAGGCACTTTCAGGATTTCAGAGCAGTGATACCTGTTAAACTCCACAACTTCTACATCCGTTCCTGGCAATAAACAATATAAACCTGTGTTTCACCCTTAAAAAGGGGCCATCATAGACACTAAAAGAATTCTCCTGTAATCTCTAAAGTAATTGAACTATGAAAGGGCTGAAACAGGGAAAGTGCGTTTTAATTTCAGAAACTGTAGTTTTCTGTGCAACTTTTACTACAACATTTAGAAAACATAAAGTTTAAAGATTAAAACAAGCACTACGAGCTAAGAGACAAGGCAATCAAGTAATACCAGACATAACTCAAGTGCTGCTTTACTAGCAACAGTTGAAGTAACTCCTAGTTATTTCAACGATATGAAAAAGCATACCGTGGGAAAAGCCCTCGAGGCCTTCAAGTGTCCCGAAACAAAAAGGTTCAGAGTAAGATGCCGGCCTATGAAAGTTTCCACGCTAGCCTCAGCGACCGCGGTCAGG